TGTAGATGACGTGATTGCTTCGACCATGGTGGCTTTCGAGACGCTCGGTGAAGAAAAGCTGAGCGATGTCTTTCTCACACTTCAGGCAGTCATGCGCCTGGTTCTTGAGCATCATGGCGGCAACGGCTTCAAGCTGCCGCATCTCCACAAGGACGCCATGAAACGAGCTGGCACTCTCATGGAAAACGTGTCCTGCCCTGTGTCAGTTCTCTTTGCTGCCCACCGCTTCCTCCAACAGTAGTATATGAGGATTTAAACCAATGAAATGTATTCATTTTCGCATCAGCCAATCAGAATGAAATGGTGGAATTAATATGATAAAAGTTGATTTTCAAATGAGGGAATTAATATGAAACAGAGGAAGTAATGTACAATTAATGTAGTTAAACCCAAAAACAAAATACGTTAAATACCGATTTCATGCGTTTTATCACTGCAGTGGGAGGTTAAAGGTCCCAATTGCCTCCGGATATTATATACGGATAAGAGTCACATACAAAAATCAAGATACATCTCAGCAGCCACCCCTATGGCCAAATATCCAAGCGCCCATGTAAAATACTGCTAGGTTAAATATCTATTTCTGGACCAATTCAACTCCAAATTTGAATCTGAGACGTAGAATTTCTTCATTACATTGAGATCTGTCGATTCTACGTCTCAATTTGCTGAAATTTTGAGTAATGAATATGAAATAGAAGTCAGACATTTTTGTGAAAAGTTGGTAGTTTATAGATGACGTGCACCATAGTACATAGTAGCAAGCAATGATTGGCTGATGAGTATCACATGACATTCACATTCAAATTTTCTCATGATGCAACCAAAACGTGTGGCCAAACAGTTCTACCGACGTTAATGTTACAACGTCCGCAGCATTCGGATGCACCTCCGACGCTTTGCGAGTTTGCCATCCAAGTCTTTGTGTCGTAAAGACTGGCTGTATGAACAAAGGGTTCACACAGCAGCAACTGTAGTGCGGACCAATTTCGTCAATATTGGTTGTTTGGGGTGTATGCCACGATGCCCAATTACTCTGGTAGTCATAGAAAGCCATCAAGGGTGATCTAGTAACCATTGTACGTATATGATGTGTCCGCACTATTGACTATTTACATCAATGCCGATTTGTGATGTGACTTTTCATGACAAATCCCACAAACAAAAATCAAGATAATAATCCTTTCTAATTCTCATGTGCCGTAGGTATGGTGATGAGGTTGAAAACTAGTGCGGTCCGCATTTATTACGGTCAACGGTGTATGTATATATATAACGTTAACGTTATATGTGTAACGTTGTGCAATTATAATTATTACACCTTTTTGGAGTTAATTTCAACTTTTTTCACTTTATTTTGCTTGACTTGCTGTATATTTCACGAGACCACCGACATATTTCGGTTATCTCCATTTAATTTCGTGGCAACCTCAAACTTCAGGTTTATATTTCACCAAGCCAGCAGTATAATTCAACCAACTATCGTTTACTGTTAATATCAGTTTTCGTCAATATATTTCTCCCAGCATCCGATATATTTCGACCAACGATATTCTCTGCTGGCTATCGATCGACGGTTTCGTTTTCGCGCGCTTCCACCTTTCGAAGCTTCATTTAACGTTAGAAAGGAGCATCCAGCACGGCGCCACCCCCGCCGAACGCCGACGTCTTGCACAACAGGTAAGCCCCTGTCGTACCCTACTGCACCGACGTTGTCCTTGTAAGTGGCTATGTTATCGTTTCACAGGAATTGCTATACTACCGTACGTCGGCCTATCGTCGCTTGTGCGCACTGCCGCCGTACATTGGGCTCCTCTCGACGAAATCGCTTGTGCACATGTCACAAGAGCCCAATGCACGGCGGATCTGCAGTCCGAAAGAACGAGGTATCTCTGATGATGTCGAGTCGAAGCAAGCAATGTTCTAACGTAAAGTAATAGATCCAACAAGTAGAAACCTGCATCGGTGGCGGCAAGCCAAGTTGTCACTTGTCGGCATTGTGTACTTATGGCCGTGGAGTCCAACATGATGTGTGGGTAACTTGATTAGGAGAATTATTTCTAGTCATTGAAATTCTGCGTTGGATCAGTTTTGTTGCAAACCAACTGCAACCGCAATGGCAACGAGGGCCAGTCCAACACTCGAAGACGCCGATGGTTTGGGCGTCGTGGGTGCCGCAGTTGTCGTAACATTCGCCACGGAGCCATCCTGGCATTTGAGCGAAGTCAAGTCGGCAGCCGTAAAATTGTCGGCCAAGCCTGGGTGAGACGCAATCGTCGCATTCGACGTGATGTTGACATTCCACGTGCAGCACGGATCGCGCAGCTCTTCGCCGTTGGTGGCACCGTCGCCGTCAGAGTCAGCTCGGCACAAGTCCACGGTCCACAAGTGTCCAGCTGCAGAGAACGCCAGACCGAACGGGCCACGTGGGCCGCCACCGTTGGTGTAGTTGATGTGTCCGGCGGCCTTGACACCAGGGATCTTGCCACTGTTGGGCACCTGCAGCAAATACTTGGAGTACGCCGCGACTTGTGTGGCAAGTCCAAGCAGTACAATCAACATCGTTTTGGACACCATGGCAAATTGAGCAATGTCTCACTTAAGAGTTCTCTGGTAGGTTTCGCAGTCCTAAAAGTATCTCCTTTATACGTTGGTGGTTGGATTGGTTGTTGATGCCGCCATGATAAAACATGTCCAAATATAGCGCGAAATGGGGGATTTCTATTATCCCGTCCATGATGGACACGTTATCATACACCAATGCACTCACCATATTGTGAGTTCAATGGCCATTGAAGCATGCTGCTTCCCCTCATCTACTATTTATGAGCCCGTCGTCGCTGATACTGCGCCCATCCTGACGAACTTGCGGTCCTGAAACGCTTCGGTAACGTTCATCCATTCCGGTTACATTGGCCACTCGGTGTGAACCACTCATGATGGTCAAAGTGCCACATCAACAGTTCACGAGACTATAAATAGATACTAGTATGGCGTACGTCATTGGCTATTTTTCACCCAATGGCCTTGCGTAAAATGGCTGGTGCTAATCCCCATAGTGAGAGGCATTCATAAAATAACGCGAGAATTGTTTCTGTCTGTATTTTATACCAAGTTCAATCCTGGGGGGCTTTTTATATAAATTGAAAGGTAAATTCCTCCGTCGCTCAATAAAATGAAACCAAAATTATTTTCGGCGGCCCTCCACCTTCAAACCAACCACTTGGCCCAACCAGTGGCTTGCGAGCGAGGTTGGTCAGGAGTTCAGCATTGTTCAATTTGCCTTACCGTTTGCATGTGCCTGCCAAAAAGACAACGATGAGACACAGCTCCCTCTACTGAATACCGTGAGGAAACGCTGCAATCCGGAATCACTATATTGCACCGCTGAGTCTTTTTACTTCATATTTGCATGTGTGTTTGACGTTGCGATGATGCAAACCTTCTAACTGAGGCTTGAACCAACTAGCCGTGAAGTTAAGATATACACTATCACCCATAAATTGAGCAACCTGTGCATGTATCACGAACAAAAGGGGAATGATGTCAATTACTTTGGTCCGTGTTCTTGATTCACATATATTTGTGATGATTTCAACTCAAAGTGCTTACCCTTTACCTACATGTTGCATATAATGTACTCGTCGAGGGCTTCTTCATACTCCACGCTGGCAATCTTTTTGGTCCCGCTGCAAAGTTGGACCATATTGTAATTGGCCCCAGTACTTTTTTCAGAAGCAATAGAATTCAGCGATTCCTACGGATTCTGCAGTTGCATGTACTGCAGCATCAACAAAGTCTTGCTGACATCTTCAAAGTAGTTGTAGCTTGCATATATATATACTTGAGCGAAGATTACAATCTATGCACCACACTGAATGCAATTACCCTTGCGTACCCGTGTTGAGAGAACACCTGTGTTTATGAGCTCATTTTCATATCTGCATAAACGTGCATATATATATATATATATATGTGCTCAAGAGGGATGATACACTTTATGGATTCCCCTTCACGATTATGATGATGAAGATCCTTTAGATATCTGACTTGAACTTGTTTATATTGGAGGCGATGATTATTGTTATACAGACCTGTTCTGAAACATTAATGTGGAATCATAACATGCATCACCATATGAGCTTCTCCAATGCATATTGCATTTATATTGATTGTTCCAAAGGACGTGCTAGGATTATTGTTATACAGACCTGTTCTGAAATATTAATGTGGAATCATAACATGCATCACCATATGAGCATATCAAAGATCCTTTGTTCATGTAGTAGTCACGTAGTATGTAGCCACGGAACGGAGGTGATGACGATCACTTTTTCCTGTGTCTTTGATTCTATGATAGAAACAATATTGTGGAGCATGACAACACCTAAAGCGCTTATCCTTTCCCGTCGAAATGCATGTGTGTGTAGCTGTAGTAGAGTACTATGATGAAACCTTACACCTCCTTAATTCAACCGTGTTGATTTCAATTCTGTGTTATCATCCTGAGACTCTACTACAGTACATACTAGTTAGTACTTGTGTGTATGTCATGCCTGCATTTCATGTATTGTCGCCAGCAAAGATTACAATCTATGCACCACACT